CAGTCTGGACTACGTATGCTTGTGTTCACTCTCACTCAGCGTTTCTTTAATAAAAAAACAACAGTTTTGTCATGCTCGTTTCACTCACTTCTAACTAAACTGTCACTACTAACTTTTCTTATAAGTTTGGGCAGCGGTTCACCTTGACAACATTTGGACATTGTAAACGCCCATCGACTGGTGCCTCGCTCGTTGAAGCTGCAAGAGTTGGTGGAGTTTGGGGCACTTGTTTCTGTGGTTGAACAAGCTGTTTTCTTTGCTGACATGCTCAAAACTGGGCATCTGGATGCGCCTGCACTTCTTTGAGTGTGGTTCGCTGAGGTAGATGATTGTCTAAAAAGCAGAAATGCAAAGTTTAATGTTAAGTACAATTAAACTAGGTGATGATGCACTTACTCATTGTTTGAAATCAAGAAAATGCCGGTTGTTCTTTTCTTCTGACTTAGTTTTTGGATGTTGCAGCAGAGGCATTTCTTGCATTATTGTGATAAAAACGTCCAGGTGGCTTTTGAGGTGGCTGCCAATAAACCAGCAAAAAAATCCGCTGATGGCCGAGCTGGCTACCGATCCTGCGCCACTAATGGCTGACTTGCTCATTGTTGAAAAACTGCCTGCTTTGGACAACTTTAAGATGGCCGATTGAGCGCAACTGCGGCCACCTGTGCCACAAAGTAGAGCGGATCGGTTATTGAAACAAACTCATAGGGGTGGTAGAAATCTAGCTCCGGCCACTTTTTCTTTTTGTTGCTGTTTTTGGAGTAGCTGGCGCTGGAAAGAACTGACAATCTGCCTGTCTTGAAACTCACCCATGAGCCTAATGAGGAGTCCAGTTTAGATTTGGACGCCAAAGTTGGCAGTGGCTGCTTGGCACCACTTTTCTTTTTCAAAAAAGCTTCGGAGTTCTGTAGGGTCAGCCCCTAGCTTTTTAGCCGGCCACTAATGAGCCTACCACCAAAGTGGCCACCGAGGATTTGTGGACAAAACAGCCGCTGATAAGAAAGCCGCTGAGTTGTTTCTGTTGGTCACCGATCCTGTGCAATTGATGGCTGACTTGCCCATCTTCGAAAAGCTGCTCGCCTTGGACTTCTTTGAGCCGGAGCCAGAAATGGCCGACTGGGCTCAGCTGCTGCCACCGGTGCCATTGGATTCGAAGTGATCCGTTCTGTTGAAAATAGTGCTCTGGCTGCCGACTTTGGAGCCACAAGTGTTAGTGTCATCAGTCGGTCAGCAAATAGTTTTCTCAAACTTGATTGTTGGGTGTTGCAGCAAGAGCATTTCTTGCATTATCTTGATAAAAACATCCAGGTAGACTTTGAGGTAGCTGCCAATAATCCAAAAAGATCCGCTGATGGCCGAGCTGGCTACCGATCTTGCGCCACTAATGTCTGACTTGCCCATCGCCAAAAAATTGCTTGTTTTTGACAGCTTTGAACCAGCGCCAGAGATGACCGACTTGCCGCAGCTGCTACCACTGGTGCTACAAAGTGGAGCGGGTCGTTTATTTTATTTTTTAATGAGCTTTATTAATAAATAAAAACCACTGCGGTCTGGCTAGAGTTTTACAGCGGTGTAAAAGCCACTTTTAAATTTAAATTAACAATTATGTTTAACAACAAATATTAAGTTCAGATCTCTAGAATAATATCACCTTTAGAGTGGATTGTTTTCCCACTCTATTAGTCTCTGATGGATGAGTTTGATGAGTCGAAATAACTCCTCTCTTGCAATAATGTGATGAAGTTGATCTCTGTCATAGAGCACTTCTAATGCTTCGATCCTAGTTTTTGTCGATTTTCTCTCCTGTTCCAATAAATCACACTCAAACAGCAAGTGTAGCGGGCATTGAATCACACCACATCTGCAGCTCGAGGTTCCTCAAATTGATTTCCGTTGTAGATAGTCTCCAAATTTGCTATGTCCAGTCATAAATTGTGTTGTTGCCAAGCATTGCGCCATGTCCTTTATAGCCATTTTGCTGTTAACCGTCGGGAAAAAATCTGTTGTTGCTCTGCTTTTTGTTGACTGCTGCCAGCGTTGATTCCACTTTTCCTGAAACTTTTCTACTACTCTTTTATTTGCAAGAGTGAAGGGAGTTCCTTGTTGTTCTTTTTTCACAATTGAGATTTCAATTGCCATCATGGCTTTCAAATCCATTGGCATGATGCCTGTGATGATTTGAAGAGCGTCGGATGACACTGTTCTGTAGGCCTTGCAGATTCTCAGCAGCACTGAACGCTGCAGCTTCACAAGAGCCGCTTTGGCCCATTGCCTTTCTAGAGCTTGGCCCCAGAGCTCTGCTGCGTACAGAATCATCGGCTCAACTGCTCTTTTGTAAATGGTTTCAACTGCTTCTGATTTTAGTCCCCAGGTGTTTGCAACCAACGTAGAAATCCTTCCCGATATTTTCACCACCTTTTTCTGAACTTGTTTCAGGTGTTCTCTCCAGTTCAGCTTCCGATTTATAACCACTTCTAGATACTTGATGTTATCCGCAATTTGAAGTGATGCTCAATTTATTCTAAAGTCAGCTATTGGGACACTTCTTGTTTTTGTGCATATCATCTTTTGCGTTTTCTTTTTATTGAATTTCAACTTCACTTTCGATCCCCACTTAGTGATTTGATCAATGGCTAAGTTAACCTTCATTTCAAGAGTCCGCAAATTTCGATGTTGGCACAATAGGATCAGGTCATCAGCAAACGCAATCAGTTCGCATCTGTCCAGTACTGGTAGTTTAAGAGCTCCATTGTAAAGAATATTTCAGAAACCAGGTCCACAAGCTGATCCCTGAGGAGAGCCTCTGGTAACTGATTTCATCGCCAATCTCCCTGCAATGCTGATTTTCGCTGTTCGGTGTCGAAAGTAGTCTTGACAAAGATGAAATAAGTCGTGTGGAATCTCATCTGTTTTTAGTTTTGGCAGAATTGCGCTCCACCATGCGTTGTCAAATGCACCTGAGATATCCAATGAGATGACAGCCGTTAACTCCTTATGAGCAAAAGCCTCCTCCGCTTAAGTGGTCAGTCGCCAAACTGCCTGAATTGTTGGTTTCCCTCGAGTAAATCCGTAATGTTTGTCCGATAACTTTCCTCTTTCTTCAAGATCGTTCATCACTCTGTCGATCATCAACTTTTCTAAGATCTATCCCATGACTGGCAGCAGGCTAACTGGTCTCCACGCTTTTGGGGAGGTCTTGTTTTCTGCGCCTGGCTTTGGAATTGCCTTAACCACAAAATGTTTGAACACTTTTAGGAAACATTCAACGCTCAAGCAGGCATTAAGCAGCCCCAGAAGTACATATAGAGCTACGTCATAAAACTGCTTGATGACATTTGCAGTGAGTGCATCTTTTCCGAGAGACTTTTTGTCATTCTGTCTCTTCACAATTACATCGACTTCGTTTTGTGTGAATGGAGAGTTAGCGGTCCTTTTTCTGCAATTGCAGGTTGCTTCCATTCTGATGTTCTTTTGTATCTCATCGTCTGACAGGTCGTCGTTTAGAAGAAAGATTTTCAGAAGGTACTCTGCGGTTTCTTGAGCATTTCCTGTAAATTCATCGTTGTTTATTTTAATTGTCGTTGGTGGCTAGATATTTCCATTTTTACACAATCGAAATGCTTTGGACCAAATATTTTCAGCTTTTTGAAAAACAAGGAATTGTCTCCAGCTCTCCTTCAAAACTGCTTTCTTAAAGCTCTTTTTTGTATACCTTCCACTCGTTTAGGTAAAGTCCTTTCAGAAAAGCGACTCAGCTCCCAAGTGCCGTCTCCTGTACTTCCTCACAAGCTTTTGCAAGTCAGCAAACTCTTGGTTTAACCAGGGATTGCACAGATCTGCCGTGCGTGCTTCTATTGCTGTATCTTTTACTTTTTCTCCTTTTTACTGTTAGTTTATTACTTTTTGTCTATTCTCCTCTTTCTTACTCATTCCATCATTTGAATAATTTTTAAAACAGCAGCCGCTTTATTTATGTTTTCAAAAATTTGTTAATCACAGTCTTGCTGGCTGCAAAATCGCTTGTTTAATTGATTTTGAATTGTTTAATAAAAACAAAAGTTCAGTCAAATTTACTTTGCTCACTTCTAACTTAACTGTGCACCGCTAACTTTTCTTTTAAGCTTGGGCAACAGCTTATCCTGACGACACTTGGACACTGTAAACGCCCACCAATTTGTGCCTCGCTCGTTCCGTTTGCAAAACTCGAGTTCGTAGACAATCACAGTGCCAAGTGTGGCCAGACTTTGCCGTTTTGGACTTTGCATTGTTTTTTTACACAATTGTGCTCTCTCGCTTAACTTTTGTCTAAATCTAAGATTTTTGTTAAATTGAACTCGTTAAGCATTGCAACTCCTGCAATAGTGCACTTGCTTAAGCACAGCTGCCAAAACCAGAGCATTATCAGCCAAAACAATAGACAATGTTCCAATTTTTTTGGTTTTCTTGTTAACCATAAAATTTAGAGACAATCCAAAATAGACATAGACAAATTAAAAGGCAAAGATTTGAAAGGTGGATTTTAAAATAAAATTAAAGTTTATTTAGTATTTAAAAAACCAATCCAAAAGTAAAAAATCTAGATAAAACACTCCCGTTTATCTGATCAACTCGAATTTGGCATCATCAGAAAAACGCCATTTATCTCGTTATACTGGTAAAAACCGTTTTTCAATATTTTTAACAGTGTAACTTGTAAAACAAAAAAGTCAGTGCAGAGAAATAGAAAAAAATCTATTTGCAAGAATAGGTTGATACAAAAATTCTGTTGTACAATACAAACAATTTTACAAAAATCTTTGCCTTTTTACATGACTACGCACTTCTTCTTCTTGCTCTTCGGCTCTTTATCCTCCTCACCCTCACCCTTGACATTTTCCTCAACGTACTTCTTGGTCAGCTTTGTCCGTCGTGTGGTGATGTTGTAGATGGGCCCGAAGGCAATGCTGAGCACCGTGGACACCAGACAGACGACATTGTAGGGCATGCTGAAGTCAGGCGTCGGCATGGAGATGAGCACCGGCTCGGTGTACAGCCGCAGTGGGTTGTACCGCTGCAACAACGCCAGTCGGCGGGCTGCCTCGTCCACTGCGGTGCCCGTCTTTCCGCCGCTGGTCAGCTGCTCAAAGAATGCCGGCAGAAAGCGTTCAAAGTGTGAGGAGGAGAGTTTTGTGCCGTTCTTCCTGCTATTATCATCTTCGCCGCCTGGAAGGTAAAAGGTGACACTGGCGGGGGGGATGTAGAGGCCGTGATTGGCGTCCGGCGGGTACTCCGTCCAGCGGAGAAACTGGTGGTCAAAGGTGAGGCGGAGCTCCACCTCGGAGGCCGCCGGCAGCTGAACTAGCAGCTCAAGGTGGTGCGGCCGCTGCCGGTCCACCGCCGGCTGGTAGTGAATCCAGCTGGGCCGTATGAGGCTGCCTTTTGTTGTTGGCTGGGCTTTGCCCAAGGGCTTCGCCTCGATGAGCAGACTGTGCAGGTAGAGGCGAAAGTACCAGGGAACGGTGTCCAGGTACAGTGCGTACACCGGCACCGGCAGTGAGTTGGTAAGCGTCACAGAGAGGCCGCCCGAGGCGACGCCATAGCCGCGGGCGTGTCGGCGAACGGTGACCGTGGAGAAGGAGTTGGCCCGCTTGGCCATGTTTGACGGCAGCACTCCCCGGTACGAGTTCGGGTACTGAATGCCCAGGTTCAGTGTTGGTCGTCGAGCTGGAGCTGAGTTCTTTTGCTCCTGTTGCTGCTGCTCCTGCAACCGTTGCTGGTGCTTTGCGTCTATTTCTTCAAACAGTTTTCTTAAATCGTAGTCGGCGTAAAGTGAAAGATCAGTTTCTGTTAAGGAATGTTCAGCTGCTGCCACCTCATCAATCACTTGCACCTGCAGCCCCCCAGTACCACTCTCCTCAAGGTTGCTGTCGGTAAAGCGCACATAGGCACTGGGAATGACCGTCAGTTTGGAGGAGTTGAGGCCATTTCTGCCGGCAACATTGGCGTTCAGGTGCGTCGCCTCGACGTACACGTGACTACTGGTGGCCAGTGGACAGTGGTGCTGCAGTGGACTGTTGAAAAGGGAGTTTAGCGTCCACGAATACCGACCGTCGACCACTTGGGGTGGGTCAAAGACAGCTAGGATTGACTGGCGAAGTTCAATGCCCGAGGTGGCGGCGCAATTGGTGATATCCTGTGGTAATGGTAAAGTGGTTAAAGAATCTACTGAAAAACATGCTTTGATTTTGCCATACCGAGCAGGTGAAGCGGAAATCTAGTGAGAGGGAGATAAACTGCGAGTTGAAGAGGTTGGTTGCCACGAGCAGACTGCCAATGCCCTTTCGCCCACGACAGGGCAACAACTTGGTCCAGGGTGTTAGGTTCTCGGTGCAGATGGCCTCTTGAGGCAGTGCCGCCATGAAGCCGTACTCTTTCTGCTGAGAGGCAGTAAACTGGTCAGTGCTGCTGCCATTGGCAAAGAACGACTGAGCGACTGAATCGGCTCGGCTTAGAAAGGGTCGAAAGGCGGCCTTCGGGCGAATGGTCTCGGTCGGCTTGATCAGGTTAATGGAGGCGCAAAACTGGCCAGACAAAAGACTGGTCAGCTTTTGCCAGTTGTCTTGAGCGCTGAAAGCAATCACACAATTGTTAAAATGTGATTTATAAACTTGTCAATTGTAAGCACAAGCAGTTTACTTTAGATAGCTGCCAAACCAGGCACTGAGGTGGGCGTTCGGTGGCACCTCTCGAATGGGCAGTCCCCAACGGTCGTACTTCCATTTTCCCTTTGTAAGTGAAAGGTGCAACTCTTGAACGTCCTGCTGGTGAAACAAACGAAGTAGTGACAACGGAAAAACGTCATTGTGAGTTGCTGATTGAGCTTATAAGTGTGCATACAAAAAAACAGTTAGTTACGACACTTTTAATAGCAATTGCAATGGGACATTACCATCTTTGCCACCGTAAGGTGCAGCATCCAGTGATTTAGGAACAAAAGTTCTAAAAGTAAAGTAGGCGCCAATTTGACCTCGATTCAGTGATCGCACTATGAGCTGCTCGTGATAGCTTTCATCACTATTGCCGTTGTTTGCTTTTACGCAAGACTGTAGCAAGCAAAGCAAAATGATGCCACAACAGGAAAACAAATGAGCATAACTAGCCTCCCTCATTTTGAAGGCAGTCATCACTCTAGAAACAAAACAAGAAAACAAAAGAACTAGTAGCGGTGTGAAACACTAAAAGCTCGTCGAGATCAGAAGTAGAAACAGAAAACTGGCAACAACATTAGCAGAAGCAGCAGCCGGCGACTTACTGTTTACACTGTGATTGCAGCCACCTTAGCTGGCTGCTCACAACAAACACTGTTCGGCAACGGCAGCAAAGCCTGACAACAGCTTGTTACATTGTTTACGAGCAGGCATGAGCACGCGTGTTTGCAGACTGCCTGCTTATCATTTCACTTGTTTCACAGAGCAACGAGGCAGTTAGTTGGAACTTTAAGCAACTTTTTACTTTCTCTATACTAAATACAAGTTTTTGATTTACTAAATTTTAGAGGCGGTAAATTACACAAAAACGCAGTGTTCTGCTGTTTATTTTAGGTAAAAAAAACACAAAAAGAAAAAGTTTTGCGTCTGTTTCATTCACTTATTTGACATTCTTGTGAATGTAGTCCAGAAAGCGGTCCACACGGGTAAATATTGACGGACTGGGTGCGGTGCTGTTGTTGTTCACAGCAAAGCTGGCCACACCCATCTGATAGTGACGACCGTCATCGCCGAGCAGCGTGCCCGGCCCGCCTGAGTCGCCATTGCCTACGGAGCTGCCCCCTTCGCGGAAGGTGCACATCATCGAGCTGGGCACTGCACTGGACTTTACCTTCTTCCGACACTGGGCATTGGTGATGACGTCCATATCAGCGGTCTGCAGGAGGTCAGGCTGTGAACTGAGGTCACCCTCCTTAGTCAGTCCCCAGCCGGCCACCGAGAGGGGCTCCTTTTCATAGGTTTTGGCCGTCTTCTTTGGCGGCAAACAGACGGGCGTCGCTCGTCCTTGAAGCCGCTCAAAGTCAAGCGGTTTGGAGAGCTTCAGCAGGGCAATGTCGTCTCCGTGGCCGACGTCCTTGTGGCGGTAGCCGCTGTGGTAGCTCACCTTGGAGACGGCGTGCACCAGCTCGACGGCTCGGTGGCGGTCATTGGCCAGCACTCGGTTGTTGGTGCCCACCAGAATGTGGATGTCCTTGGCGTGCAGCACCTTACCGTCCTCCAGTTTGATGCAATGGGCGGCGGTAAGAATGTGCGATGCGTCGATGATCGAGCCGCCGCAATAGAGGGCGTTCTCCTTTTTGATGTTCTTCCGCAAAAGGCCCACTGCCCAGGGAAAGGCCGTTGCGCCGGCAGTGCTACCGCCGATGATGTACGAGCTGGCACTGTTGGATCGTTGACCACAGCTTTCTGGTATTTGAAGTTGACAAATAATGTGGTAAAGTTTTTACGGTCAGAACGTCTCTACAATTGTTATTTGTGGTAAAACTTTTAAGAGTACAAACCTAAGTTAAGCAAGTTTTCTGGACCAATTTTGACGCCTAGTGAAGGTTGTACGATGAGTAAAAAGAACAACGTAAAACAAAACCCTGTTGCGTTTCCCATGCTGTTTGAGTTTTATTTTTCGCAATGCTTTTGGTAGCCGTATATGCTTTTGTTTGTTTGCTAAATGTGCACAATTTTGCTTTTATACAAAAGTAGCAGATATTGATATTGATACTCAGGAACTAAAAACTTTTGGCGGAAAAGTATTTACAAGTTTGCTGTAAAAAATCAAATCAGGATACGATAATAAACGGTTGTTACGATAAACTCGCGCAAAAATCCGATAAACACTAAAATAAAAAACAACAAAAATTAACTGGTAAAACTCGGTTTTTTATAAAGCAGAAGCAAAGTGCACTACTGTTTACCAACAATGCCGTTAACCTTTTGCTGAAAAAACAACTAAATCAAGCACGCATTTTAAACAGCGAAAATGTAAAGTCATCAATTGTTTAGTGCTTGCGCTTAAAATAAGGCAGTTCTTCGAGGGGCGCCTGCACTTTAGCCTCACTTGGCCCGGTGTAGGCTTTGCCGTGCTGGTCAGTCCAGGTGCCGGCCGGAAAGTACACCGACCGCTCCCGCTGGCCGACAGTGAGCACTGGTGCCACCAGAATGTCATCCCCCAGAAGGAACTGATCATTGATGGCGTAGGTTTTGACGTCGTCCGGAGTGAGGTACCACAGCGGGCGAATGATGGGGCTGCCCGTAGTGAGACGCTTCTTCGCCAGATCTATTATAGTAGGCACGTGTTCGGCGTGCAGCTTTAGCAACGCCTTGGTGAGGTTGACCGTCTTGTCGGTGTACTGCCAGGGCTTGCGCGTGAATGACATTGCCGGCATGAAGGTGATCGCCTGCACCATGCGAATGAACTCCTCCTCAGAGGGCTTGAAGCCGCTGAAGAAACCGCCCGCAGAGTAGGGAATGACAAAGGAGTAGCCGGCCAGGGAGACGGACAGCGTGTCGGCCACTATCTCCCGCAGCTGCTGACCGTACGACTCGCGGTAGTTGTTGGTCAGCCGGGTGAAGACGGGCAGGTGCTGTGAGTTGAAGGCGAACTCGCTGATCACTATCTTCTTGCCCAGCTTCACCACCTCCTCGAGGTAGCGCGTCGTCAGTATGCTGGGGTACTTCTGCGCCACCGGGTCGGAGACGACAAAGTCCGAGCCGATGGTGAAGTGCGGAAAGAGCTGAATGATGTCCAGCTTCTTGGGACCGAGCAGGGCGGTCAGCCGGTCGTGGTAGAGTTTTGCCGCTGCCGGATTGCTGAAGTCGACAATGTTGGAGACCTTGCCCTTGCTGTTCTTCACAAACAGCTTTTCCGTCTCGGCGGTCTTGTGGTCGACATTGAGGAAAGGACCGTAGAAGGGCACGCCCACGGCAAAGTTGTGCCCGGTCAGGTTGGTCAGCATATCATCCGGTTTGGGGTAACGCCCCTTTGCAAAGGTGTAGTTTCCGTAATCGCTTTCCCAGAAGTCAAGCGACAGCTGGGAGTGCTCTGCGGTAAAGCCGTGCTGGACGGTTTCGTTGAGGAACATGTCCACGCCGTGCTGTGTCTCGTAGTGATTCATTTCCCAGAGGAACCAGGTCGGGTGGCGGAAGACGGATTCGTCCGGCACCGCGGTCACCTTGGGCATCACCCCCGAGTCGTGGACCACGTAGTCGGTGACGGCGCGAACGTTCTTCGAGGCAAAGACCTTGAACTTGATGTCCAGGTAGGCGGCGTCGTGGTCGTTCACGTTGTACGGCGGCACATTGGCCACGGTGAAGCACAGCTGCGGATCGGCGCCCACCTTTCGGCTGATGAACAGCGGCTGCTGGTGGTCCAGGGACAGGGCGAAGCCGTCGGTATTTAGAAAAAGCTGTTCCAACACCATAATGTCCTCCTTGTCCTTGTCACGAGAGTTGAAGCGGTCGTAGTCCATGAGAAAGTTGAAAGCCTGCTTTGTCTCAGCGCGATCAGTTCTGAGCGGCCAGGTGGAGTTCATGCTCTGGTAAGCGTTGTACCTGAAATGATATATCGAAGTAAAGTGTTATACTAAAACAAAGCTACTTTAAGGACAAATAACTATGCTCAAATACAAAACAACAACTGTTACCATTTAGCTTGGTTGTAGGCGTAGCTGAAACAGACGTCTCGTTCGCCATTGGGTCCGCCACCGTGCCACAGCCAGCTAAACTCAGTGTTATCACCCTTATCAACAATTGACAGCTCGGCATTGGTATTGTCGCTCAGGTGAAGAATCCATGTGTTCGGTGTGTTATCCTTTGGTTTGATTGTCTCCACGACTGGAGGGTGAACGGTAAACTGCAACTTTTGTTGGTTTCGATGTCGGTTGATAAAACGAACGAGATGACCGTCGATCACTTCGCACACTACTGCGCCAGCAGCATTTTTAATCTGCTGATCAGCAGCGGCTGAGATTGTGATTAACAACAGAAATTGAGCAAAGAAAAGTAAACTGAAAGTTGCCATTTCTGTTTTGTTGAATATGTTTTTCAAATTACATTAATTTCATGCATTTTATAAGACATTGCTGTTAATTAACAAAGTGTTTTTGATAGTAAAACCCCAAAATATCATTAATGATAAGATATTACAACAAATACTGAATCTAAACTTATTTATTAGAGAGCAGCTAGAGTATAAATGATTTGAAACAAGTAAAATTAATTAAGTTACAAACGGTAAATAACTGTTATACTTTATACTTTAGATTAAACAGTTATCAATTTTATAATTTTTATGTTTTTGTAGCAAAATTTAATGTGTTATCTTTGTGTTTAAACTCAAAGTATTGTTAAACTATTTATTGTAGTTTAATTATAAACTC